AAGCATTCCAACCCCTTGGAGTAGGCCTTATTGAACACTTCCACTGTCATCCTGCTAGTAGTCATGGCAGCTGGAGTTTCCCTGTTCAGACTCCTGTGTGTGGTCTCGAGGGGACTGAGGTACTGAGACGATTTTTCAGGTCAGATCCATTCCATGGCTGTAAAGCTTAAGTGAGAAGCAGATCTTACCCCAAGATATACCATAAAACCTGGACATAGAGCCACCCCACACTTCCAGGCAGCCTCAGGGGGAGTGAGCAGAGATTGTCAGAGCACTTGGGAGTCTCCACTTCCCAGGCAGGTGAGATGCTGAGCTGGGGCAGTGGCTATTCCATATGGCCCAGGAATTTGCTCTTAAATGCACCAGAAGGGCAGAAAGGAGATAAATAAACCTGTGGTTTTCCTTCTTGTAGGCCTACTCACTGGATTACTCACTCACAAGGGCTCTGTCTCTGAAGTTATGACTGGAGGTTTTTAGGTGCGAGCCTGTGAATTCTCATTTTGATGTTTCTCCTGGAAGAGCTTGTGGTGAAAGAAAAGGAAATTCTATGTACCTCCTCTAGGTTCTGGTGGCTTATGCTGGCAGACAGATCCTTTTTCAAAGATAACTCAGGAATTATTGTTTGTTATGTCATCTGCTACAGTTAAATATTAAAAAATCTTTGAAAAATCCTTTGTTCTGAATCTGTTGTATGGTTACCAGAGTGGATTTCTCCTACACAGGGCAAATTTGGAAATAAACTCCCCCAAAATTATAGAAAATGTTAATTTCAATAGCTGATAGAAAGCATAAGGAAATGAGGATTTTGCATCATTTTTGATAATTTAATGTGGTGTTCATCAACCCACTTTAAGGAAAACTGAAGAAAGAGCAGTCTATCAGAAGACTGAGTGTTGCTTCCAGCAACGTTTGGAAATGAGTTTACTAAAATAGACACTACTTTACATTTTTGTATAAAGTACAGCTGATATATGAAGCATATTGAATATTGACTCTCTGTGGAAAGACTACATGAGAATATATTCCAAAAGGATACATATATGTATGTGCATAAGGGTATATTTTATATATATATATATATATATGTATGTGTATGTGTGTATTATATATACGTACAATAATAAGTTTCATGGGAGAAAATGTTTTCCACTCTCCCTGTTTACAGTCAAAAAGCAGCAATGTCCTGCAATATTTGATTCTGAGTAAGATGTTTGTAGTAAAGCTATTACTAAATAGTATTACTGAGTGACCATGCTGGAAGAAAAATATTTCTGATTTTCTCTATGTGTTTTTTTTTTTGTGACGTGCTAGACATTATTAACAGATATATTGCTAACTGATCTCATTTACAGCCTGGGTTAAGCACTGAAATCTTTGGGCTGTGCATGGGGATTTGGCAAGCCTGCCTGCTCAGTGAGTAAACAGCACTGATGTTTGGTAAATGTGACTCTGATTTTGTCCTTGTGGTTGTACTTACAGCCTGGAAGGCCAAGTCCAGCACTGAGTGTCTTTGACACTCAAAAAACACTCTGCCCTCACAGATTCTTGCAAAAACTTCAAGGGGCTTGCATTCTTTTGTAAGGTGTGCCTAAAGGTTACCTGTTCTAATGACACTAATGTTCACTCTTCCATTCAGTAGGGCCCAAGGCCCCCGCAGAAAAGTTCCAGCTGTGGCTAAAGTCTTTGAAAAACAGGCAGAGTCAGCAGCACTGCCAAGGATACCCTCCTTTATGCAGTGTATAGGAGTTAATACATAATTCACAGAATTAGAAAAACGTCCAAACAAACCCAAGCTTTTACTAATCCTACTTGAATATAGCAACAGCAAATGAAAAACAGCACTAATTGCCTGAAATATTAAGTACATGCTGTAGAGACAACTATAACCCTGGAAAGGAGTTAGTTAGTGAACCAAGACATAATAGGAATAAATTCAGGAAACATCCTTCACTTAAGAATAATGAAAGAACAGATTCGGAATGCATTTGCCATGCTGTTGGGAGAGTGAGAAACAAGTCTGAGCCTAAACTAAGAGGTTAAGCCATTTCTATTTACACAGATTTTAACATATCTGATAGAACCAGGGCTTCTGTTTTGTAATTAGATTAGCAGTGAATTAACAGTGAATCTGGATGCATCTGTGTGGCATCACTGCAGTAAGTGGGATCCAAGTGGATGACTAATCGTGGCAGGGAATTGGGTTTCCAGACTGGGCTGTGAGGTGGTCAGGCAGCCAAATAGCTGTGTATAGATATGCCCATGAGCAATCCTAGTCCATCCACTACATCCCAAGTGCAGACGTATGACTGATGAAATTTCCCTAGTCTTTATCAAAATTAAAGAAAATATATATATTAAAGCCCCAAAAATAATATGAGAAGGAGTGAAATGTGCTTTCCCTGCATTGCTGTACAAGTTTGGGTACTTTGGGTAATTATATATCCTATATAAAATGACAGGCTGTAAGAAAATTAAATCTGTTTCAGAGGGAAATGAAATATAGAATATACAATTTAACTTTTCCCTGGAAATTGAGAAAAGTAGAAGAGAAGGAAACAGCAATAGTTTCAGCCTTACAAATGCTCATCTAGTTTGCATTCAGAGTCTTTCAGTAAATACCACAATTAAAAACTCCTTCAGAACAAAATTGACATGATTTTACTTATTACACAGATGGTGACGTCAGCTACCTAACTTCATTTGTCATAGCATCTTATTACCCACTTGAAATTCTGAGTGATGGAAACAATTAAAATTAGAAGAGCAAAAAAAACCTCCTCGTGTTTCAATCAAGTTATGAGAAATCCACCTGATAAGCAGATGTTGCTCAGATGTTTGTCAGTGTAATGCAACTACCTAAATGGTTTTATTTACAACCTGAGGCTCTCCTACCAGCTTAACATATCTCTGTTAGCTTTGCTTAATGAAAATAGCAAAACAGAGGCATTTTTTTTCTAACCCCACATGTTGAGCTGAGAACTCCTACCATATTTTAGGAAAGCTGGGGCTGTCATTGTTGTCATCTAGACAAAAAGCAGGAGGATGGCGTTATTTTGTTACTGTGACATGTTTCTAAATGTACCTTGTGGATTCATATAACCATAGGATGGTATGTCTGCCGATGACTCATGCTGACTCACCCACTGAGCCAGAATTTACTGAGCCTTCTTCTGTGCCCACACACAGTGATATGATTTCCAGTCTGAGTAAATTCTTTAAAATTTAATTTAGTAGGCTTTAACTACAGAGGCAGATATGCTTTTTCAATAGTTTCCTAATTTGTTTTTATGTCTTATTAAATGTATGTTCAGATTATGTTTTGCAGAATCCTTTGAAATCAATTTTGAAAATAATGTGGGTAAGTGCAACTGTGCTTTCCAGAGATGAAGGTCTGTCTGAAAGCACTGGAGGTGGAAGCATCGATAATCTACTGATGCCATGGACCTAAAGGCCTTATACATAATCACTGCCTCTCTGCTGTGGCTTTAGCAGCAGTGCTTGTGAGCCTCAACTGTGGTAAGTCCCTAGGCTCAGGCAATAAATAATTAATTACAAAAAGACAAATTGACCTGATTCTGTTATTATTTTTAAGACTGAAAACCATATATTGCCCCACTGCAATCAACAGAATTAAATGGTATAGAACTAGGTGTGAAAGCAATTCTTTAAATGCTACTACAGATACCTTCAGAGTGATTCTACTTCTTCTTAAATAACATAAATTATATGGAAGATTTTAATGGGAACATGATCAGTCCAATTCTTTCTCTCTCTCCAAATTCTGGTCAAAATCTGCTACGGTGTAGCAGCCTGAAAAGCAATTCCTGTTGTTACAATATAAGCTGTAGTGACTGAGGAGACAGCTACCCCAGTGAGATTCTCTCTTGGAAACAAGTAAAAGCTTCTCTTCAATCTCATACTCTTTGATCAAGACCCCTATGTTTTGTTAAATCAGGATTTATGATAGTCTCATTCTGACTCCAGGATTCTTTACCCACCACACAAGGTAAGGGAGAAGAAAAAAAATTGTTGCTTGGACTACTTCTGCATAATTTGCTTTTTAATCTCTTCTGACAAATGACTAATGAAAGTTCAAGCAACAGAAAATGAGATGCATGTATCCTCCCCCAAAATAAAAGTTACCAAATACTTCAGTAAGTTGATTGAGATATCCCTAGACTTTTCTCCACCTTTCCAATATTCTGAAAGAACAGTTGATGCCCCCAAGCCACATACCCTTCCTTTTTCTGTAGGATTTTATGTCACTTCTCAAAAGTATGTCAGTTGTGACAGTGTTTTGGGGCTGTGTGTTTTACTTCTCTTGCTCCTGCAGTCAGTCAGGCATGATTCCTAATCTGCAAGAATTCATCTATGATTCTGTCTTCACATCTCTGGGGTTTACTAAATTGCCCTGTCCTCTAAATCGGAAAGTGCTGGATGAGTGGACACTTCATCCCCAGTGGTTTCAGCTTCACTGACTTACTTGTAGTTTGAGTGTACAGTCCTTTGTTTTGCTTTTGGAGAACAAAACCCCCAGACTTTAAGTCTTTAGTCACACCTTCCTGCCTGCATCACTGTTCAGACTTTCATTGTTCAGGGCTTTCTTGTAATTCTATCACTAGAATTCAGAAACTGTTTGGTTTGTCCTTTGAGTTAAATGTGTTTGAAAGTAGAATATAACTTCTTTTTGTTACTTCAGACTTCAGTGGTCATTAAGATTCTGTATGTAATGGAGCATGATACAAGGAGAACCACACAGCTGTATGACAAGGTCTGAATAGAAGTTGAAACAAGTGTTTCTTCCTGCGTCCCAACACGTTCTGGTCATTAAAGTTTCTTCTCTTGCTGTTGCACTGCCACTCACAGTCTCATTTGGTCTGAGACCATCCATGATTTCTATCAAAAAAGCACAAAGGACTCAGCTCTGCTGTACTCCCGTGAGAGGGATGCTCTGTAGCAGAGCTGCCCACTTTTGACACACTACAACGTTCTCAAAAGAAAGGAGAGGCCCATATACTGCACCCCATCCTTTGCTGCAGCACACGGCAATTTCCTGAAAGTGCCATAATTACTGAATATATCCAACAAGTTGCTTGAGGCAAGTTTTCCATGTTGAAGAAATGTTGCAAGAAATATAGCAGCTGAAAGTAGATTAGTATCTCCAAGTAATTCAGACATCTCACTGTTGGTCTCCTGCTTTCCATGCAGTGCTACAGACCTGTGAGGAGAAGAGTGATTACTAGATTAATTGTTCTGACAGTAGCTCATTTCTAAAAGCCCTCTTTCTCAAGGGGCTCTGGTCCTTCCTGTGTTTTACTGATGAGAGGAAAAGGGTTTCTAGAAAGAATGGTGCAAGAAATAGGCTACTGCCAGTACCAGAGCAAGTAATCTTGCATACAGCCTATTCTAGAGAGACACAGACTGAATGAATAAACCTAGAGGTCATAGCCACTGGATGTCCCAGCTCTATTTGATGTCTCTGCAAATCCTGTATCTTCCTTTCTTTTACTCCTGATTTGCAAAAAATATAGTGACTATGTGGAAATGATGTGCTGCTAATTGAAAAAGAGCAACATTTTCTTCAAGGAGTGAAAATTCCCAAGCCTCCTCTAGAAACGCAAATAAGAAGTTTATGGTGTTTAAGAAAATACTGGCCTATCTTAGGTAAACATACACAATTGCAAAATGTTGATCCAAAGGTCCCTCTCTAGCTGAATAAACAGGCACTGAGATTTTCTGTACCTCTGTAGCTTACTCACTGCTAGCATCCAGTTTTAAGTACCATACTGATAGGGCAATGCCAGCAGTGTGTTTGGCAGTGTCCACTATGTACTTACCTCCGTGCTTATTGTGCTTCAGCTGTGGAGACTCTCTTAATTATTTTTATTTTAAACACTTTATGAAAAAGCTGACCTCATTAACATGTCAGAGCTTTGTTTAGTAGTGCTCTCTGGTTATTATGCTGTTATTCTCTCTCTTCCAGCTTTCAGAATTTTGCTGTTCTTAGGCTTTTTTGAAATGGACTGTAGTATTTACATTTATTGAATCTTTTTAGAGATGTAAGATACTCACTTGCCTTCCCCTGGTGGTTGTACACCCTGCAGTTCCCTGTGGCACTTTCATTTGACTGTCTTGGAGTTCCACTGGTTCTTCTGCCTTGCCCCTCCTTTCCTGTGATTTGTTACATCCATAGCAGAGCTACAGCACTCTGTAACTTCCAAAAGATTTAATCACAGTTGAGCACTTGCAATTGTGCAATCTCATGTGTTCAATAAACGCCCCACTGGAAAGACTTCTCCCATAGTGTAATGCTGACTTGCTATTTATTAAGAAACACCTTGATTTTTCAAATTTCTCCCAGGTTATGGGTATCCTAAAGGTTTGTGTGACAAGTAATTTACTTGGACACAATGCTTCTTTAGAAATAACATTCCTTGTGCTTGCCACTCTTACTTGAAATCACTGTTATACAAAGTAGGGGGAAAAAGACTAGTAAAGAAAGGGTTAAGGTTCTGATTAAAACACAGAAACAAACATACAAACACAAAGCATAGAAACAAGAAAATCCAATTCAATATGTACATTGTTCTAGCAGTCACTTATAGCTTGCCTCCAGGAATCAAGGAGCCAGTACAGGACCAGGATCAGGATCTACTTCTCTGCTGGGTCTTTGCCTGCCCCCACCCAAAGTATGAGGGACTTCCCAATGCGAGAGAGGCTAAACCTCTGAACATTTCTTTGGACCATCTCCCTTCCCTTGCTTCCTTCAATTTAGAGGCAATTCCAATGTATTGGAATTGTATTCCAATGGCAGTTTGACCAACCAGAACTGTTTATGTGAATGCAAATGAAATCTGTTTTCTCTTGCCTCAAATGGAATAATCTCTGAGATGCAGTGATCCTTTGATACACAGTGATTTCCAAACTTAGATCTCCCTTCCTACTTAGAAAGTCAGTTGAATTATAACTTGATTTAGGTCTCCATTTCCCAAGCAGTGTAACTTCTTTTATGAACTTATTTTCATGCCCTTTTAAGATCTCATAAATTACATATAATAAAACTATCAACTGTAAATCAGACCCTAACCTCATAGCTTGTGAATAATGGATTGCTTTATTCATAGGATTCAGACATGAGATGCCACTAATAATGATGATCAGTTTAGGGTCTGGAGCATTTTCTAAAATAATTTCATTCTTCCTACTTCCTCACTTCATCATATCAGAAGCTTTGCAACTATCACAGTAACTTCTAATTCACACAGTAACTCTAATTCCCTTAGCCATAGTTAATTATAGATACCCTGGCAGTTGCAGAGTTATTTATTCCAGGGTTTCTTGATCATGAACAGACTAATCAGAGGTCTTCTGGGGGGCCTTTCACTTTCAGAAATACTGCTTTTAAAATGTCAACTCCTATCATCAAGGCTGTGTTGGTTTTGTTTCATTTTTGTACTGCAGAGTACAAAATTCATGAAACTGCTCATTTCTGCAAAGTGGAACATTCACATTTAAATTATGATGTCCCCTTGTCACTAGCTTTCAATTATCTTCAAAATTAGAAAATACTGTCTAATAATTTGAAATACGCTTATTTAGTTGGGGGATAGGTACCCTGTTAAAAAGTTGTGCTTTACACATTTCACTGACTTAGTTTTTCTCTGGTTGGCAAAAAAGGCTTTCCCAACATGCTTATAGTAACTGACAGTCCTTTGGTGGAGTGTGGGAACAGAGTTTGTAACATTCATTGTACAGAGAGTCAACAAGACTGTTCTTATTTTATATTTTTTCTCAGATAACTGTAACTACTAATTTATTTTTGTGTTTCAAAAACATCACAAGATTTTATTTTTTCTTTGAGGGGAACCAGTCCTCTACTTTTTACCTGGCTTGTACTCCTGCCAAGACTGGTGGCCCTCTGGCTTGAGCAAAGCTGACCCCAAAGTCTGATCATGATCATGATGCTGGTTTGTCTTTGCTATAACAGGAGGGAGACAGAGTGCTCGGTACCCCAAAGGAAATATACAGCACACTTAATGTTGACACTGTTATTATGGCTGGCATATTTTGATCATCTCATTTTCTTTGATACTAATGTACAGTAAAGTGTGAACATTATCTTTAAGCTGCAATCTGATCTTACTGAGCTTTATGTGCAGCAAAGGGCAGTGGATTTTCTCTTCGGCAGCAACATGAACAGCAGGAGCTCTGGAAATTGTAGTGGCAACAGCAGCTTCTGTTGTGACAGTTCGCTAGTAGGTCACCATGGTGAGAATGTATCTGAGTGTTGGGGTTTTTTTCCCTGTCCAGACAATAATATAATTTCTAGAATCCAGAATAGCTTATATAAATTATTACCCTTGTCACGAATTATATTCATGCAGATATACTAACAAGAAATTTTCTTTTTTAGGAGAGATTTAATACCTAGACAAAGGATTTGACAATACTTTTAAAATCTTAAAATGGTTGTTTTGTTGGTATATAGTTGGGAAAAAACCCCAAACACCATTAATTGAAAAAAAGGGTAATAAGCCACAAAGTGGAACCTGGCCTACATAGTTTTGCTTTTCTTTTTAAAGATTCATTATATGCTTATTTGTTTTAAAACTAAAAGTGTAAATTTTTTAACTGTGGATACTACAAGACAACATGGGATGTGTCTGGATTTTGCATGCAGAAAGCAAAGCTCTTTGCTCAGTGCTTAAAATTGAAATAGCTGTAATGTGACAGTGTCTGACAGGGGCAGCTTTGATGGTCAGGTACAACATCAACCAAACTACCCTACAAAAATGCAGAAAATAAATAATTAACTCTTTTTCTCTCCTTGAATGAAGGGCTCCATTTGGAATCAGTGTTATCCTTCCTGTCAATCCTACTCATTATCTTTACCTCCCAAGCTGGTGTGCAGCCTGTTGTTCTTACAGAAAGAGTTGGCTGTTGGCAGCTCTTTAACTGAGCCACCACCAAGTGTTTCCATTAGCAAGTTCACAACAGTCCCATCTGCAGCTCTGGCCTGCTGGGTCACTTCTTCTGGGGTTGTGCACCACTGGCATGGATATCAACAGCACTGTGTAGTCATTATGAGATTTAAAAGAAAGAGGCCCTTCTCTTGCCACAAGCTGAATTTTCTTTGATTGATTTCTTGTCACTTTTCCTTTCTACTTTAACTGGCATTCATCAGTTGCATGCATGTATAAATTACTCAACAGCCCCTGCTGCAGTTCAGCAGAACCTTCAGGAAAAGGTTCAGTGACCTACTGGACATGCATGAAGTTTCTGTCAGAAAACCTTTTCCCCCCTCAGTCTTAAAAAAAAAAAAAAAAAAAAAAAAGCAAGCTTCTCAGGACCTGCTTTGTTCATTATTAATGTTTCAAATATGTATTAGGGCTCCCTTTCATGGCACAGTTTGGTTGCTGGTGTTTTTTCCCCTCAGAAGGACGGTGAGTCACATCTATTCCAGTTTAACAGCTCCTCTGATCTTAACAGAATGCCCTCAGCAGAAACATCCTTGAATAATACAGACCACTCACATAGATCAGATTGCTTCTGCCTGATGCGTTGCCCCATTCCAGGCAGCTTCACTTACCCATGAGAACAGTGTGTGCTACAAGCCCCCACTCTCACTGTGGTCCTCAAGCTGTTATTCTTCCTCAGCAATGGGGACGAAGAGAGATGACAATAAATGGAAATGTGGGAAGCTATTTTTAAAGTGCCATTGATTTTATGTGGGAAGGTATTTTTAAAACATCAGTGATTTTATGAAGCAACCTTTGCCACTCTCCCAGGTAATTACTTCTCATAGTTACAGTAAGGAAAGGTAAAATATTAACAGTATTGATAATTAACAATAATGAATTACTTGAATTAACAGTAATAATAATTCCAAATTAATTAGGAAAATATCACAAAGATTAAATGGCAAGCTGTCAACTTTTCATTAGATTACTATTAGAGACTATCATTAGGAAAGAAGCATAAGTGGGCAGCAAAAAGTAGAAATGGAATTGCATTGACAATAAGAGGTCTCAGTTAATATCTGCATATTTCAATGATAAACTCTTCAGGCTTATTTTTACTCTCATGCTTACTTTTAAATTTTCATTAGAATGGTCTAATAAAACGTTGTGTCTATGCAGCATTTGAAAGACATTTTAAAATTGTGAGGATATTGTTACAGAATTCATCTATTTTATGGAGCTTAAAAGCAAGCTTGTTAGGCAAACTCTGTTGTCTTCTTCAATAACATAAGTTTAAAAGATGATAACATAAATATATTTACATAAAAATTTTACGGTTGACATGCTTAAGCTTTTGGTAAACATACTAAGCTCTCTTAAAATACTTCAGTCAAAGGCAGAAAAGATAATCTAAAGTCCGGATAGTCAGTGAAGAAGAAATCAGGGAGTAAAAAAAATGAAGACCCATTAGAGATGGTGGATGAGAGTAGTCTAAGCAAAAAGTGATATTCTAACACCAAAGCAAAAGTTTAACATTATTTTAGACTGGAACAGGAGACATCTCAGCAAGAAGTTAACAAAACTAATACTTCTGATCTGTGTCCTGTGCTATCTACAATACTGCATTGAGTTCTGAGCTTCCCAGTGGCAGAGAAGAAAAGTGTGAACACATGCTCACAAGTTACTGGGTTACCCAGGCAGTTCCTTATCAGCAAGGATGCTATGGCAGCCTATCATAGCTGAAATGAACACGTTTTCCTTCGGCAGCTGGGTGTGCTGGGAGCACACACAAAGACAGCTATTACACCTCGTCTGTGGCATAGTAACTTATTAAGCCATGCTAAGTCATGGCTTAATTACAAACTGGCTTGACAGCTTGTGGCTGTCTGTCCCTACCCAATTTAACAACATGAACAAAGCTGAAATGAAGGCAACAGAAATAATCATGGTACATCAACCCCTTCAGTTTGTTACATCTCAAAGCCAGCTCATGGCTGCCTGTGTGCATCTCCGAATAAGTGCTTCCACACTGCCAATTAAGTGCCTGTGTGAAGGCACTTAACCTGTTGCCCAGTCACACTTAAGACTGCATTTGTCATTCTAATGCTGAAGCTGAATGACATTTCATATCGTGCTGTGATAAACTACCATATTCTGTCTTTCTTTGTCATCTTTTTGAAGTGATAAGCTCCCAGCAGCTAGAGGAAATTTCTGATACTAAGGTCTTGCTTTTATACTCCTGAGGTTAACTGTATTTCTATTCCTCCATCAGTTTAAATGTATGTGGTTCCCTAGTTTTCCTTACTGTTGGTACCCCTAAGCACTGGGCCATTTACAAATTCATCCCTCACACTTTCCTGTATCAGTGTCATTAAGGAAAATATCTAATAGGTTTAAGTCCAAAATTTATCCTGGGCACTGGGGGAGTGTGGGGGTTGTGATGGTGGGAAGAAGAGAAAACAACCTTTACTCAGATGCCTCATTTCTGATCATTATAATTTGCTTTATCCTCTATGGATAATCCATCACCACCATTAGTCTCTGGTACTGCTCTTCTAATTCCTGTCAGCTCCTCCCTTATCTAGAAGTGGAATGATATTATCAAAGGAAGATTTTAGGTTAATCTGGTAAGGCCTACCTTTAGTAAGCAAACATCATGCTTTCTCACTTACTGATATACTTACTTTTAAAAGTTTACTACCAGACAAATGACTTCATTTGGCAGGATTTTCTGACTTCTGGGATGGGCATTATCTATTCTTTCTGCCCAGAAGCTGTAGACTGTGCTTTACTTTCTTCTTATATGTAATGCCAGCAATTTCTTTCCCTCCTAGTTATTAGCCATCCTGCCCACCAGACCCATATTCAAGATCACTACCTTTACTGAAAATTGAGGCAAAAATACACATGTAGTTTCAAAATCAGGTTTTGACGATTTCAAAACCCCATTTCTTCCTCAACGGAAAGCAACATCATTTCCATCTTACACTATTATGTCACAGCTGGATAACATCTTGCTGTTTTTTCAGATGCCATATACCATAAATCAACATGATTTTCCAGATAAATTTTTCCTTCCATCTCCCACTTGCTGATGTTTTAGATCCTTCCCAAACCAGACCTTTTTTTTGTTTCATGCTCTCCGCTTATAATTCTTACTTCTCTCTCGATGCCACTACTTTTCCACTTATGCTTTGAAGCTTCTACCTCAAAACCATTTTGCCTTCTGTGAGATACAGGATCCCAGTCATTTGGTTCCAAGGTACCTAAGGCTTCTTCCATGTTCAAGTTCTCATTATACAAGATTATTTTGTTGCCAGGTCTCTTCACTTACCATACTTACCAGTTTCCCTTTCTGAAGTTGAAAACATTCTATTTTCTTGCACCCCTACCTTTCATCACACAAGTTGTGATCACTGACTCCAGGGTTGTTATTTACCATCAGGCCTTTGAGGGCATATTCCTAAACCACCCAAAAGCATTACTTTTTTCCAGGCTCACTGGTAGTTTGGAGGAGAATTTAATTTGCTACAACAGTCCAGAATGTCTGGCCCCAACTACGAGCATTCCCCAAATTATTAAATGAGACTTTGAAATCTCAATGTCTAATTCTTTGAACTAAGCAGTACAATCTCTTCAGCAATATGGAGTTTTCTAACTACCTCCCAACTTTTCACCTCAGGTCTGGAATGAGCTCAGGGCCCTCTTCTCTCAGTAAAAACCTCCAACCATCTTTTCCAAAAATATATAGGAACTAAATTTTGAGTAGTTTTATTATTTACCTTTTATTTGCAAGACATTGTTTCTTTAACATAGAATATTACTACACACTTTTGTTTTTACTTCTGTATTTGCTCAACCACAAATTCCCTCTAATCCACATGTTCTGGTTAGGAACTGAGTTTTCTTTTATCACAAGGAGGGCATCCTGAACTGTTTTCTAGAATTCCTCAATTTTTTCCAACAAAGTACTGGAAATAGTATATCCACTTTTCAATTATTTCATTTTGACACAGTAACATTACTTTTCTTCATTTGTCTGTATCTGTCCTTTTTTCTTAGCTACATCCTACATTCTTCCTATTCCCCATTGCTGTATTAACAGTATTAGCCTTCCTCTTGTTGAGTAAAACCAAAGCAAAATATTACATGAATCTTTCAAAATTTTCTCTATTCATTTCTTAATGTGAAGATGACCTTATTGTCTGTGGTGACTTCCTTCCTTTCTTCACAGATGGTGTAATCTAGAAGGGGTACATAGACAAGTGCTGAAGAGCTAACTGCTGTTGTTTAGTGAATTAGTTTCCATGGGAAGTTTACTCAGCTGAAAATGAAAGAGTTTGTTTGCTTTGCAGATAAAAAAGTAACCATTTACCATGAATATACCATGAATATTGTCAGTGTCTGAGAATGCCTTCCTGTGAAACCAGAGCAGTCACAATTTGTCAAACTAGTATGGAGGCCAGTTAAAACACCAGATATTTACATGCCTCAGACAACCAGCTAACTTTTAAAAACCAGAGGTAAAAGGTGAGATAATGACATGAAAACACTGTCAGATCAAGTAGCTTCCCAAGGTACTGATTTTTGGCAGGACCTGGTTTATAGCCCATTAATTTGAACATTAAACAAATTTAATTATTGAGATTTGTTAACAGCTACTGCTAAAAGGACAAATTGCCTCCAATAACCCATAACAATAGAACATTAAAAATTGGCAACTTTAAAAACCTAGTAGAAGAACCCACCTTCATTCCTCTTCAGTGCAGTATCAAAGCTGTTTGCAAATTACCTTTATCCCATACTATCTATTTCCTGTTTATTACCATTTCTATAGTTCATAGTTATTTTCATCACCACTAAGAATAAAATGGGCATTGCATGTATTAAAAAATGCCGACTTTTTCAGGCATGCACACATCACTGCATGTTGTTGATCCAACACACAAGTATTCCCACAAATATCCTGCCTTGGTAATCTTGAACAAAGCTTAACTGGAGCCAGGCATGAAATGGCATAAAATCCCTGGATTAGCCATTAACTCTGCATTGCCACATACAAATCATTATTTCACCTACTTATTACTTCACCGCCAGCCCCTGCTGCCTGTCACTGCTGCTTGCTTCTTGCCACATACACCTCTTGAGCAATGCCAGCTTTGAGTTTTAGCCCACAGAAACCAGCCAGATATGCACATTTTCTACTGATTAGGAATGTGCTCTTTACGCTGGGTTATGGACTCGTGTTCACAGTGTAGGTTTTCAGTTAATCTCTAACATTTAAGCAGGTCATGTTTGAACAGCAGTAGGGGATATAATTTTTTACTTTAGAGAGAATGTAGGGTAATATTTATTATTTTGGGAAGAATATTCCCAAATTCCCAAAAGAAATACCAAAAGAATTGTAAAGGTTGTGCAGCTAGTGAGATGATATGGATAGCAAGTAATTTATTTTTTCTGAATTTGTTATAAAACCATATATGAAATGAGCCAAAGTGAAAGAAAGGGGATCAGAACCCCTGTAAAACTTAGAAGCAAGGAGAAAGACAGGGTCAGAAAGTTCAAATGACAACTGAAAGCCTAATTTGTGATTTCTTGCGGTATTTCTGTACATTTTTGTTTTAGTTGTTACTGGGGAAAAAGCAGCTGCTACAGTAAATTAGAGGGAAGAGTCAGTGGTATCTGAGTATACAATGTACATACTGAGCAAAATTATCTATTGCTACCCAGGGTATCTCTCTGGCAGGTGCCCAAGAATCAAAGTAGAGGATGCAAACAGGGACATGATAAAATTACAGCCCAGTTCCATACCTGCTGAAATTTGTGCAGGATATACCATTACTTTAAAGAGTGTCAAGCTCTCAAAAAATTCCTGGTGGATCTCTTGAAATAAAAACAGTTTTAAAAAAATCCAAGAAATATCTAGGCTAAGTAAATTTTGCATTCATCAACCCTAAGATACAGCAATTTTAGCCAGGTTTGTCCTTGCTTTAATAATATATTATTTATATTTAAATTACTATAATGAGATATAAGGGAAAAGAAAGGAAAGGAAAGGAAAGGAAAGGAATAATATGATGTGTTTTTTCACATCTTTTAAGAACAAATATTAGATCTTTGTATTTGAATCTGTGACACTCATATTTAAACATTATGGGGTTTGCTGTTAACTTCAGCATATTTTTCTGAAAAATCATGGACTTCATAAATTGATGAGGAATTTC